ACACACACACACACACACACACACACACACACACACACACACACACACACACACACACACACACACATATGCAGTGAATTAACTAACTCTAACTGCATGATGATGATGTTTTGACTCCTAATTTGCATTATAATGTAGTGTCGGTGTGCACAGAGTCAAAGAATGATATCATCATCACAATTCTTATTTAACATACATGATGTAGAGTAAAGCAACACACAAACACACAAATTACAGGCTAGTGATATTGCCATTGTTCTGAGCGAATACTTTCACTGGTTACCTTGGGAACGCAGTGAATGAGCCGTCACTAGAGAGACCGGCTCTCCTGGCAGTTCGAAATACTCTGCTCAGTTTCTGCCTCTTTCTTCATCTCCTTATCATACATTTCTGAAGATCCTCCTTATCTCTCCAGGTTTTTTTTGAAGCCTTTTACCTTTACGAGTAGTTCATGAACTCTGAATAACTCTCAGCTGAAATATCTGATACAGTGAAGCGACATGAAAGGCTAATGATCCCTGTGGGGAAAAATGGGCATATTACAACAACAAAGAAAGGCTGTGTAGGACAGAAGCTTGATTTTTAGGGTTTTACTGAACAAGCAGGCTTGATCCAAACTCACACTACTTCTCAGTATTCCCGCTCCATCTTTACTTCTTCCTTCCGGCTCCCTCAGCCCCACACGCTGTGTATTAAGTGTGTTTAAATGAGTGCTTAGCAGGGAGATGCATGCTGGCACAAACAGCGGGACATCTGACATTTACAACACAACAGACCCTCTGTCTGGTATACTGGCAGCCTGCCGGCCTGACTGGCACACTGCCTGGAGATGTTCGCACCTGGGCGAGTGTGTGCGTTTGTACTAATGCGCTGTGCATGATAGCTTAAACCTTTGAATGCGAGCATGTGGGTATACACAGCGTATTCGGTATCATCAGCTTTTTGTGTGTGACATCATCTCGAGCTTGCGTGGGAGGATTTGTGTGTGTGTGCGTGCGTGCGTGCTCGCGCTGGTTTTATTGAAGAAGTAGAAGTGGAAGGAACAGAGTGTCAGAGGGAGAGAAGGACCGAGTCGTTGCTGAATAATTAACTTATCACTGCAGTGATTTTCCCACTGCCATTGTGGATAAACAGAGTTAACATAAACACACACAAAAAAAGCATTTGCATCCCCTTAGAGGATTAATAGGGTCTAAAAAAAAAATAGCTGTGCTGCAGTCGCCACCATTGTTTACAACTCAATCTTTTGTTTTTATCAATCCACGTGACATCTGCTAACATGCGCGCTCACCAGTCCCCCCTGGACATCTTTCTCCCCCGTTAGATGTCTGCAGTAGTGTTTTAACCTCTGTCTCTTGTCTGAGTGTTTAGTTTCCTGGTTGTCAGCTGTCACTTAAAGCTGTCAGTCAAAGTGCTAGATTTTTGTAATGAGTCATACAGAAAGTCTAACCTTAAAATAAACCGCTTAAAGCACCATGTTAAAGTGAAATACGGTGTAATTTAAAGTTTTCTTTAACCCCCCCTCAATATACTTTAATGCCATTAAAATTATTCAAATTCTTCATTGGAAAATTCATATTTCTTTGGTTTACTTACTGTATGTCAGCAGAAATGACGTTGTCAAATTCAATTGATTACAAAATATCCTCCAGACTAAGAACCCTGCCCTCCTAATATATACAGGCAGTGTTCATATAAACATGTAAATCAGATATTTGGTAAATAAAAATTGATTTATGTGCTGTGTATTGTTTGATTTGAGGAAAATGAGTATATTAATCAGATAGATGTGTTTGATTAATTGAAATCTGGTCAGGAACCTCCCACAGCCCTATCAAGCTAGTCATTTAAAAACTTTCGAGCGGGGATATAAAACTCATTTTACATTGCGGGCCACATACAGCCCACTTTCATCTTATGTGGGCTAGACTGAAACGCTTTTTGCCAATGAAAAGATGTTGAACTAAACATTGAATCTATTAAATCTTACTATATAATATTGATATATAAATATATAAATGTAATAATAGAAGATGAAGAAGCACAATTTCAACATCATGTTTCAGTTTTTCTAACATGCTGCTGTAGTAAATGAAAGAAATCTATAAGCATGACTCTTTGGGTTTAAATTGCAAGAGGTAAACTGACTGAAATCTAAAATGAAATTGTGTTAATGGCCAGTGGGGGAGGTCTTGATCAGTAGAAAAAAAAACTGTAAACCTTGTGAAAATACAGTTACAAATCCAAGAGCAATGTCTTCCTTTATATTTTCTAAAACCTTCCATAGGACCAGATTGGAATCTTTGCCAGGCTGATTCTGGTCCCTGGGCCTTATGTTTGGCACCCGATTCAGAGTATTTTGGGGGGGGGGGTTTGCAGAAAAGAAATGCATGAATCTATCTAAACTGGAAAAGCATCACTGACATATAAACAGTGTTTACAGTCATGTGCCAAATCACATGTACATTTTTATCTCTGAGAAATGTGTAAGGCAACATTTACATTTTGAATTTCTGGCAAGAGTGCTCCTTTCAGCTCTTTACAGTAGCTGCTATATGCTTCCTTTTTCACCAGCTAGTTACTGACTTTGTTGGTGCCAGGGTTGCTATGGTTGCGAGGTCTGCGGTTTTCTGAGTAATTGGCCCACATTTGAAGCATTTCTGCAGGTTGAACTTTTCTTGTCCATGAGTTCGTGTTGTGTATGAAAATTGCCAATATATCCTAAAAATCATAAAAGCCAAACTCCAGCATGCAGGCTTAGATAGAAAACAAACTATTTTGTGATACTCTCCAACACCGGGTGCCTGCCTTTTGGGTGTTATATTGTATTGTTTATTATAGGTTAGTTTGATTGGCCATGGGGCTGGTTTTATCAAACAGACCTGGCAGCTCTGTTTGGTGCTGAGCGGAGAGCTCACAGGAGAGTTTTTGTTGAACACAGCTGCCTGCTGCATCCAAAAGGCTGGAAAACCAAAACAATGACCTGAAAGGTCAGTACAGCCGAGGGGAAAAGCAGTGTTGGCTGATAATTTTCTGTGAAACAGGATGGCTAGCCATTGCAAATGTAAAATACTGCAATGAAGGGTTTATGGAAGTGTTTTAAAATATTATGTGGCTGAAAAACAACACTGTTAAATTCATAGCTATACCTTAGTTACGCCTGAGGGTGAAACACCTGAGAGTTGGTGGTTTAGCAGGGGATACTTTTTTGTCCTCTGCCACCGGGTGGTATCAGGGTGAGCAAGGATGTGCCCAGGGTGGATATTGTCTCTGGACTCTGATCAGACACCTCACCACTCCAAAAACCACGGATGCTTGGTAGAAAGGTGCCGGGGAGTGTTCAGGTATTGGTGTGTAGATATATACTAGTTGTAGGAGTCAAAGAGAATTTGGCATGAGAAATACAGATTTTTTTACAACATGTGTTCAAGCTTAACTATCAGAAACCCTTCTCATCATTAATGGGAACTTGTGTAATTTTCCAGTGCCTGGAAATGTACCTCTATCCTGTTTGTCTCAATTTCTAACCAGGACGAAGACCAAAAAAACGAATAAAGTGTGGTCTGAAAAAAATGTTATTAACTCTTTACCTTTTACCGTTTCATTCCACAGGGTGGGCCATTTATATGGATACACCGTAATAACATGGGAATGGTTGGTGATATTAAAGTCCTGTTTGTGGCACATTAGTATATGTGAGGGGGCGAACTCCTCAAGATGGGTGGTGACCATGGTGGCCATTTAGAAGTCGGCCATCTTGGATACAACTTTTGTTTTTTCAATAGGAAGAGGGTCATGTGACACATCAAACTTATTGGTAATGTCACAAGAAAAACAATGGTGTGCTTGGTTTCAACGTAACTTTATTAAATTGAAGCAGAGCAAAGTTACAGAGGTTTAATTAGAGACACAGCTAAGCATTTTGCAATTTCGCATAATTTTAAAAAGTTTACATTTCTTCAGCAGCAGAAATTAGACTTTCTTGTTGTAAGTTAGTTAAATTAAAAAAATAAAAAACAAACAGCGGCCGACAGCGCTGTGCACAGTGGTAGACTGGTGCGTAATAAGAAAGTGGATAATGCAGAAAACAGAGATTTTTAGATGTGACACTCTTCTTG